GATATTCGGATTTGTTTCCTGCAATATCGCCGCGCGAAGCGCGGGTTGACTGCTAGTGCCAAATATATCTTACCCAAATCAATTCACCCTGATATTTGGACATAGATTTGCTGTAGGAAACGATGAAAATGCATTAAAAATAAAAAAAAAAAACTACGTGCATAAAATTTACGCGCTTCATGGTTCTTCTAATTTTCATTCGTTTTCACATGATTCTTTCTAGCTCGATTACGTTCATTTCTTACTGCCTCTGGATTCACCCAGGACAGGTACAGGCACGCACATGAATATTGTCGAAAAGTTCTAGAAAAGATATTACCCAAACTTGGCAAAATTTGTCCAAACTGTGGTCAGATTTTCCACAACCTGCTTACAAGCATCTGATCTCAATATACAATAGTCCAAAATTCGCTTGCTGAATAGGAAAAGGAGATCATCACCATGGCATGGACCTGTTCAAAGAGGAAGAAAGGCTTTAAGAAATACCGATTTTTTAGTGACTATTGATGAAAGGAAAATATTAAAAGTCGGCGTTGTACACGTGGCCAAACCTTGGTAAAAATGGCCATTTTCAGGAGGCTATTTTTTGTTATGGGCCAAAAGGAGCCCATGCCCGCTAAGCATGAACCTACGTTGGGTTCTATCCGGGGAAGTTATAGGGACAAACTTTAATCAACAAAGGCTATAATGTTGGTCATAACATGGGAATAATTTCAGCATGGTGAAGTTTGGGTCATAATACGTTAACTAACATGGGGCACGAAGCGCCATTTTAGGAACTGTGTCAATATATTATTGTAAATCTGAATCCATCCAGGTGGCACCTCTTAAACCTACTAAATGCCTGCATGATGCTCTTACATACAGGTCTTTTAGATACTGGTCCCACAGCTCATCACGCTGATTTATTTTTTCCCGTTAAGCTTTCCTAGTTGGATACTCCATTGTGTTCGTTGTCTCAGAGATTATTATACAGAGAAGATTTATACTGAAATTAAAATGCCTTATGTCAATGAATTCGTAAATTCTCAAATTTATCCATGCATGATGTCAGGAACATCTACTACTGTGCTTGAATTTTACTGATTGCGCTATATTCCCTTACCATCTTGGAAATCTTGAAATTGCATTGCGGCAAAAACATGCTGATTTGTCGCATGAGTTGAATTTTGATGAATCCTATGCATCTGCTGTGTTTCATGTGACATTTTAGTAAGAATAAACGTGTCAAGGAATTCATTTTTTTAATCAGATTAGCAGTCCATTATAACAGTGCAACAACATACCTGTAATATAATCAGGCATCCGCAATCCTGGCATGAGTTTAATTATACTTATAGCGGTATCAAAATCAAACAGGTACAAATATATTGGTTTTGAGTCTGAATAACTTAAGCAAGAGTTCAACCATTGATAATTTCCGCGCAAAAAGTTAATATCACCGAAAAACTGTAAAGAGGGGACAGAATAAGTTATGATTAACACAGGGTACTTTGGTGCACAAAAATGGATATTTGAGGAGAGCAAATTCCATATCAATCTTTTCTGAAAAATCAGAATGTCTGAATTATAGTCTGATAGAATGATAGATAATGAAGAATATCTGGTGTTCAAAATTAGAATGACATGAGCTGCGTTGTTTATTTACCTCTATCTATACCTTACTATATTGAGGGTACTTCTCGCCGTGAATTCCTAGAAAAACAATTTTAAGAAGTCTGGTTAAATTTTTGCAATGTACCTTAATAAAACTAAAAGACAATTTCAGTATTTTCTTTTCAACACAATAAAGGAGTATGAACTTACGTCTGCAAATTTTTGAACGGGAATATTTTTTTGGGCCTCCAGGTAAAACTGCCGCACTTTATTTTTGGCGACCGCCACTTTCGATCGGTCGTTCGATATGCTCTTCAGATCGTCGGGAAACATAGTGTCCATAGCCCGTACTGGATCTTTTTTAACTTTATTCAACATCTTATGATTTTCTAAATAATTGGAATCGAAATTTAAAAAATACATCTTAATAAATGAACTGGTAATGGAGAAATGTTAATGGGTTGTAAGTCAATGAACTCAGGTCATACATGCATAGTCATACGTCTATAAGGGTTGAAAAAATTGAAATTTTTTTATAATTTATGCTAAAGATCTCATGGATAAACTTATTCAGCAGTTCTCGCAATCCTTCCACCACCAGCCCTACTTTTCGAATACGTCACGCGCCCTCGAGATTTGTTTAGAAACCTTTCGGGGTGTAAATGCCGTAAAAGGCAATATCTAGTGAACTCCAGCGAGGGAGAGTAGTAATTCTAATGAAATTTAAACCCATAGAAGGTTGAAACTTACCCAAGTAAATGATAAATCCCTCCGAGCTGTTCAAACCAAGTACAACGGGCACAGCGGGAGCTTGTGTTAGAAGAGCCCTAGGTTCTGAAGGTAAAAATCGACCCTTGTAAGATCCACATATTTCTTTTGAAGGGACAAACGAAAAGGCTAACCCAGTGTGAAGGTCCTGGTTACAGGTAACAATTTCAATCACCGATTAGAAAATTGTCTCATTTAATAAAACTTTAGTTTGGTTTGACATGGCAACAACCCCTTTTCGTGTCAGACATGTTTGAGTTGGTAGACGAGCAGCACAATCCAACAAACATCTTGAAGTAATTATTGACCATGTAACATCAATATTTTAAATAGTTTCGTCGATAAATTCCAATTTTAAATGAGTATAGTAGGTACGAGAGGCAGGCAATTTGCAATGCACAAAAAATTGCAACTTATTTATTGAATTTTATTTATTGTTATACATTTTTATTAGATGAGTTCCTATATGAATGAACAGACAACCATGCTCTAATACACTTACTCATCGCGATAATTTTACCATGTAGTTGCAATTTACTGCAATTAATGCTACTCGGGTGACAAGGACTGAATTTGATGTATTTAAACTAAAATCTTGATGTATCTTTATTGTGACCTGGACCCTAAAACCCGTGCGAATACATGCATGACAGGGTCCGGTCCATGTTGCAATGGATATAGCTCCCCTTTCTTTTAGTAAGCCCAAATGCCCAATTCTGCCGTACTAAGGAAAAACTCCATATGAGTCCCCAGGCGCTGCCAAATTTCCATATATAAAACACGAATTTTCTGGTAAACTTATGAATATTTTTCTTCCCATTTTTCAGATAACGTTGTTTGCAATTTTACCTGAAGTTCCTGAAAATTTCAAGGAAAAATATTCATAGCTTTCCTCAAAAATTAACATTTTATTGAAGGAAATTTGACAACTCTCGAATGTTCATACGGCGTTCTTCCTTAGCACGGTAGAATTGGTCTCCAGTTTACATTGGGGAACCACTATTTCTGGCTCAGTTTATAAACAATGTTTGTACCACTAGTTTCGGTATGAAGATAGGTGCTTTTTTGGACGCGAGCTTACGAAAAAAAAGAGCTCTGGGTTGTTCGATGATATGAAGATTTCAAATTAATTTTGATAGTACCCCAATAAATTAGGTTACTAACCCAAGTGTTGCGGAGCAACCAAAATTAATTGGAAATATCCATATCATCCAACAAAATGGGGTAGTACCACGATTTTAAGAGGTAACCCCTTACACTTTTTTCCGTGCTGGATGTAGTGGTTGAGTTTAAGGCTCGATAAGCACCGAAATAAAGAACAATCATAACTTACTTCAGTGGTCATGATGGATAGGACAGCTCTGACAAGTTTTTTGGCAGGCACTGCCATTAAAAATTCATGAAGTGCTTTTACATCATGGGTGACACATCCAAGTTTTTCTCCGACACGGAAAGCTCGTCTAATCGATACCTCAGGGTCCATGTAAGCCCACGGATCAAGAACGCAGGCACTTGCTTTGATCGCTTTGTGAAAAAGACCTGAAAGATCAAGAAAAGCTGAAATGGTAATGGGAAGTGTTTTGGATAGCAAGAGGTGTTGCTTCACTTAAACTCAAAACTAGAAAATCTCACGCATGTTCAGTAACTCCATAAACATACTTTTGCAAATCATTCCATACAGGGTGTCCCAAAAGTCCGTACCCTCCCCCCCCCCCCCCCCCCCCCCCCCCCCCCCCCCCCCCCCCCNGGGGGGGGGGGGGGGGGGGGGGGGGGGGGGGGGGGGGGGGGGGGGGGGGGGGGGGGGGGGGGGGGGGGGGGGGGGGGGGGGGGGGGGGGGGGGGGGGGGGTACGGACTTTTGGGACACCCTGTATACGTCGGTATCTTATGTTTACCTTTGGAGAGTGGAGAGAGTAAATGATAGCTGACGGAAGCAGATCCAGCACTTTCTCCGCAGATTGTAATATTGTCAGGATCCCCAGAGAACTTCTTGATATGCTTTTTTACCCAAATTAAAGCTGCTCTTTGGTCCAGCAAACCAACATTTCCCGGACACTCCTTGATTCCTAAATTTAAAAACCCTGAAAAAAGCATATACGAAAGGATGAATGCACCAATAACGAAAAGGAAGAAAATATAAATAAAATCGCGTTGCAAAAATTTAGTGGCGAGGTCAAAGACGGTTTTAAGCGTGCCATTGAATGGATACCGAGCATAATCTTGTAACCGCAGAGAAGTAAATTGTCCTCCGCGGACAAACATCGTACTCTCGTCCTTTCAATTTTCCTTCTCAGAGAACGATTTTTTTTTTTTTTTTTTTTNTTTTTTTTTTTTTTTTTTTTTTTTTTTTTTTTTTTTTTTTTTTTTTTTTTTTTTTTTACTAGAAAAGAACTCAGTAGGTACTAAGTTTGATTCAGGTTTGCTGTACACGTGTACTTGGATATCGTTTTTTGGGGAAACTAGTAAGCAGAGAGATGAATATTCTCAAATTCATATAAATTCGGACTTCCCGTCTTTTTTAAGATTATCCAAAGGGAGAAGTATTGTCTTTTCACGGACGCTGCGGCGCGAAAATTATTTCCACAAATGCAAAGTTTGAGAATTGGCTGTAGAACCCACGGAGAGCGATCAAAGCCATTTTAAGACATCGATAATATTTCCCGACATTTCCTCTGATTGAGTGAGATTCAATGATTTCTGCATAGGTTCTTATGACTATTCAAGACCCTGTAACTCTTGTGCAATACAAAATATTTCAAAATTTTACTTAAAAGCAAAGTATTCGGCTTGAAATATGAGATAAAGTTTTACTTCTTTTCGTCGCTTCTTACTGTAAGCAGGAAAAAAGTGTTTTTTTTTTAAAAAAAAACTTTTTTTTCTTCTTTTTTTAAATCCCCGGATACTAGGAGGACATTTTGAATCAAGCGTAAAACATCGGCAATTCTTAGTAATTGTTTGCTGCTATGCTCCCTCGTCCATTCCAATAAAAGTTAAATCTTCTGGCAAAACACTCACCAAAAATATTTAACCGATAATTAATTGTAACTAAAACAACATCCTTTGCAATTAAAAAATCCGGTCCATACAAATTTGAGTTTGAACTTCCGGACTGAAAACCGCCACCGTGAATAAATACCATCACTGGCCTTAATGATTCGCAAGAATTACCCTGGAAAAAAGAGGAAAGAAAGGAGGAAAAATTACGATTAAATTTATTAACGGTAACAACATTTTCTGAATTCTTGAAAAGTTACAGTCACAAATTTTCAAACTATTTTTAAGGTTTTTCGAGGTTTGGGAAGAGTATATTTTTTTACTTTGTTGATAACTTACTTAGCCCCAAACATTATAATAACTCTTACCACTGGAGAGTAAATATTTAAGTAAAGGCAGTCTTCGGCTCCTGAAATAATGGGAAGCAAGGGTCCGGTGAACAGCATTTTCTGACAACACGCATTGCCATGTTTTTTGCACTGACGAACTCCGTCCCACTTCTCGACGCTTTTTGGAGGCTGCAATAATATGAGAGAAAATTAGCACACTGAAATAATATCTTTTTACGCATAAAAATGTAGGTTATATCACAAAACTATCGATTACCTGAAAATTACAAGGGTGCCAGGAGTACTCACCCACAAAATTTTCGCCTAAGGGACTATTTACCCACTCGTTTTCGCACTCAAGACTTTTCAATTTCAACCCCTCGGATATTCACTCACAAACCTTTTAATCTACATGTATTTTTACCTACAAGCATTAGGCTGCAAGTTGCAAAAGTTAGAAGTGAGCACCACTCTCGCAGTCATGCCTGAATAACTAGAAACTGGAGTTGGAAATCAAGATCGCCTTCAATTCGATGGATGCAATTTGTGCGGCTCAGGAGTTGACATATTTGTATCGCGAATCCTAGTCTAGCATGATGTCCAGGGACAAGCGACTTTCGTTTTAATCTTTGTGTTTTCAATCACTGCCGCAACAAAACGTCAGGTAACTTTTACTCGAATCTCCCTCGAAAAATATTTTGATAGTGACATTGAGAAAAGTTGCAAAAGTTAGAATTGAGTACCACTCTTGTGGACACGTCTGAATAATGGAGTTAAAAATTCAATCAGGCCTCCTTCACGACTTCCACGGGTAGTGTAAATTAAATATAGGTGAAAACTTCCTCTTTGCAAAAAACAGTTTATACAAGAATGCGTATAAGGGGGTGTAAATGCTGTGGGTCAAGAGTTCCGGGTGACTTGTATCGTGCGGATGATGAGTCTGTGGGCGAGTAGTCCCGGAATCATCATGAGGGTTGAATGGTATCACCCTCACGTCTATGGACATGTTCCTTATCCAGTACGTCCAATTAGACCAGTGTCCCCACAGCATTGGAAAATTTATTTTTGATTAAATAGATCTCATCTTTGCTATATAAAAGTTTTTTTTTTTTTTTAAATATGAATTTTAATGTCCGGAAATTAATGTAAATTAATTCAGAAGACACCCGACAGCAGCACAGATCGTGATAATATAAAAATAGGGACAATTTAAATACAACAATCCTGTTAGGTAAATCCGGTTGAATTTCTGAAAATTCCACTTGGTTTGGCAAAGTTACCATAAAACGCAGCGATCCAGTGGGTGGGCGGGCATATGGGACACCTTTGAAGCTATAGTAAGGTTCATCGTTGAGCTTGTTGATGAGAATTTCTCCCTCGATGAAACCTCCATCAACCTCTGTAACAGTACGGTCCATTTTTTCTATGTCAAGAAATAAAAAAAAGAAGAAGAAAAGAAAAATATAAGAAAAAGTTAGATTGGGTGAGAATTGAACATGTCATAAAGAAAATAAAAGTGGAAAAATTAACAAAAGGAAACGTCTTAGACATCTCAACCGTTAGATTACACGGCTTCAACGGCATATACTCGTACCACAAGAGTAAAATTTGGTTTTATTATTGGTATTATATATTGACTTTAGTCGGGGGGTCTGGCCCCCTCATATTAAGGGGTCCGGAGGGAGATCCCTATAAAGGCCCATTTTTGCATTCGAAGGGGGGGAGGAGGG